TTTACACTTGCTAGAATGATATACATTCATATTCAGGAACTCACTTTTTGGAAACTATTCAAGTCTTGTGCCTTTTTCTGAATCACTCAGCAGCTTAGGAAGCCTGTAGCTCACCATTGCTTTCTCCATTATAATACCTTGGCCAATCAACGCCCTTTTGCCTGATGTATGAAGTGTTGTGATTGTCTGAAATTTGGCATTCTTGTGTTTGTCCTGATAAGTACAAGACAAAAAGCTTCGATCCTTTTCAATGAGGGATGGAATTGGTTTAGTGGTATAGTGTTATGTTACTGAAATGGTAAGTTAGAGTCTGAGACTAATTCTCTGGAGAGATTTTCAAATCCCACCATGGTAAATCATAAAATCTTAGTTCAATGAAAATCTGGAATTAAAAGGAATTAAAATGGCAACCATTGTTGCTTGTCACAAAACCCCATCCGATTTACTTACGTACTTTAGAGAAGGAAATCTGTAATCCTTACCCTGCTGCACCTACATGTGACTCCAGACCCACAGAAATATAGTAAACTTTAACTGCGCTCTGAAACGGCCTAGAGATCTATTCAGTTCTAAGGCCATTAAGGATGGGCAACAAATGCCCATCTGGCCAGCAATGGCTACATTGCAAAAGGATTAAAAATCATTCAAATTTTGTACTCTCATGTGGTTGTTTGCTTAGGAATTTTGGGATACAAGTTGATGACATTGGTCCAAATTATTAAGAGCAATATATAAAACCTTTTCTTGGCTAAGTACTATTAGTTATTTGAAGTTTCAGGATAACAAGAGAACCTTTAGTAGATGTAAAACAGGAAATGTTTAGTTGTTGTTTATTTTGAAGTTGTCTCCTGAGCATCATCTGTGCTCTAGCAAGTTGCATCCAATGGGTTATTATGCCATATTGTCCTCATCTGTGAGCTGAGAAGTTTGGCCATTTTCACCCAAGGGTCAAACTGGAGGAAAATGCCATCAGAGTTTTCCGTCCTGCTTACTAAATATTGTGTCTTTTAAAAAGTTCTCTTGTGGAACGTGGATGTTCCCAGCAAGGCCAGCATTTGTCGCCCATCCCTAGCGACCGATGTAGATGTTTGAGCGTGTCTACAGGACTGATCAATTAGTCCCACACTCCTACTCTTTCCCTGTAGCTCTGTAATTGTTTTACTTAATTTGAGAGCCTCACTCCAGTCCATAAAGATGCATAGATTATCACATCTCTCAGCTATGTCTCAGTGGCTTCACAATAATATTATGAAACCTACAATGCACTATTTTGTAAACAACTCAACAACTATTATCCACACAGAAATACCCCAAATATCAAAACAAGATAAATTGTTACTTTTCCTGGAACATTATTTGAAAGAGTACTGCTGGCAAGAACAGTAAGGAAACCACTCTCCAGATCCCACACTGCAGTGTTTAGATCCACCCTAACAGGCCCCATTTGGAAATCTCAGCTAAAGTCGACCACCTCCAACAATAGAGCATTTGCTCAATGCTGCACCTCAGTGCCAGTTTAAGATTACATACTCCCAGGTCTATTCAATAGAACTTGACCCTGCTATCTTCTGTCTCAGAGGTCAAAGTGACAGCAAGTGAACCATCCTAACAATTTCAAAACATATCCTTTTTTTTAAACTGTGTTTTTGTTCTGCCATCTGATATCTAAACTTTTGTTGGCCAGAGCAGAATCTGATACCAGCAATAATTTTCTCTCTTCTCTGAGCATCTGCTTGTGAATGATAAAGTATGTTCATGTTTCTGAGCTTTCAGATTGGTCTCCTTATCGTTGGACAAGCGGATATAACTTTCATGTCATTTAAGTTGTTTATTTCTCAGAGTCTGTCATTTAACACTTTACAGGGAGATCTGTTAAAAAGGAAAGAAATATCTTTGTAAAGACACTCTCTCTCCTGCTCCATTTGTTCTAGAATCCATTTGCTATTGCATCTCTTCTTTCTGCAGGGAGAATAAAAACATGTGTCACAGTGGACACACTACAGATTTGGTTACTAGATGGGTATTTCTGATAGCTTGAGCATTGACATTGAGGAATTCAATTGCATTAAATTTTAGATGGTTTGTTATATTTTCTTGATACAGTTTTTAAGCGTTTTTCTCAAGTAAAAAAGGCTGGAGGGTAATTTATCAAAACAGGATAAATATTTTCAAGCAACACTATTTAACTGGAATGAGATCCCTGCGGAAAGTTCGTATGGAGGGAGTTAATTTACAAATGACAAGGACTTCGCGGTAAAATGGGATAAGGAATGCACAGAATGCTCTGGAGAAAATGAGATGGTTTATGTTTGAAAGCCCTGGTCTGTCTTTTCAAAGAGGCCCCTGTACTAATTGCGTGAATTTCAAAGTAACAAGCTGATCATTCCTAATTCTGGGGCCAAGTCAATTGCAGAATGCTTGGTAAGTCTGTAATTCTTTTAAAACCATGACCATTCAATCTATCCAACTAAGTTCCAATAGATTTGCTATAGTCTGATTTGGAGATAGTGGCACATAAAGTCTTCTTGAGAAAGATCTTTGTTTTCTGACAAATAATATTGTCTGAGCACTTTACTGCTAAACCACTTGATGCCCCTGTAAAATATTCCAGAGCAGCTCAAACCCTGTTAAAATAGATACCAATCAGTTAAAGTATATTCATCAAGCTTGAATCAATACATTTTAACTTTGAAGTTTCTAATCATATGAAGCAATCTAACTCAAACACTATTTTCTTGCTGATTTTATATTTATATCCAGGATAGAGGGGCTGTCATATGTAGAAGAATTAACTAAAATACTAGGCATTTACTCCCAGTGGTTAAAAGAATGAGAAGCGATCTAATTGAATCATATAAAATTATTAAGGCACTAGACAAATTAGGTGCAGGTAATTTCTCCTGTCTTGGGAGTCTAACACTATGGATTACAGTCTCAGAGATGAATTGAGACAGGACTAAATTGGGTGATTTCACAGAGTAAGCACAGTTTACAATGGAGAAGGTATGGGGTCTGAAATTCAGCACAGGGTCGAAGAATGCTATGGTCCTATACAGGTTTGTTCAGCCAAAGCATTGCAAAGACAGGATTGTGCAAAATTGTTTTATTCTGGGGACATGTCTTTAATTTAAAATAGCGGAATGAAAGAGTCATGTGACCTGTTCTGAATTCTTCTATTGACAAGCGTCGTTGTTTGGTTGATAAAGATTAAAGGGGCAGGGCCCTGTTATCTTACTGGGAAGATGGTGTAAGATATTCACGTTTGTAGACAATGACCAGACCTGCTGTGCTGACAGTGGATAGACTTTGTTTCCAAGTCCCAGGGATGTGTTAAGAATGGTTTTGTAAATGGTTATACTTTAAACTGTCTATTTATTTCTAAGATAGAATGGTGTTAAGGAGTCTAGAGTTAATTAGCTTTTCTGGATACAAAGCCCATATGGTTCATCTTTACATGGAGGTGGACACTGGAAGGGAAAGAGTCCATAGAAGTTATTCAATGCAGATATTCTTAAATATCGTTGAACTTCACACAGAGTCAGAGAAAAATCTGAGGGAGAAAGCAGAAAGATTAAGGCAATAATTTGTCTGTAGATCATCATACGGAAGAATGTGGTAAGAACTCACTCAAATTGAAGAGATCAATTTCATAGAGATTTAAATGAGACTGGCAGAGTTGCCTACAAGAGGCAAGAACCTTTTGTATATCTCTTATTGTCAATGTCAACTCTAAGATTAAGAATTATCTGACTTTGAAAGGAAAAGAAAGAAAACAAATCCTCTGATCTGAAAGTAACTTAGGACTCGTTACAGGAGGGTAGAACACCAACTTAAGGGATACAGTGAAATATAACTATTTCAATCATTTTAAAACTTAAATAGGAAATCTTTTTTGAAGTTTAGAGTATCAATTGTCTGTTGAAATAGTATTTAGTCAATGTTGCTTTTAATTTGACTGTTATAGTAAATATCTTAAAACTTTGGAAACATGTATAATCCTTTCAGTCATTCATCGGTAGATCAAATTTCTTTTCAAATGTTAATGTTCTCTACAAGGATTATAATACAATGCAATAGCCAGAGAGGTGGTGGGATGAGTGTCTAGGGAACAGAGTTTATGGTCTTTTCAACAGTTTAAAAAGGAAGAAAAATTGTGAAAAGAAAGAAATGCTGTAGTAAAAGAACTAATACTTGCTCAGGAAGTTTGAATGAGTCAACAAATACATAAAGGGTGCAGTTGATTGCCACTTTGAAGTGATTATTGGTATTAGTTCCTGACTTGTCTCTAGAGAATATCATTGTAAAACTCCCTAAAGGCTACATCCTGGATGCACCAAATATAATTCATAGCATGAAGTGCTTTGAGGCAGTGATGGTATAAGCTGATAAGGGATGGTATAAATTCAAGTCATCTTTAGCTAGTTTAGTTAGACCCAACTAATAAAGGTTTTACTACTGGCTACTGTGATCTCTGTCTCCACGTGAGCTGCAGTTAATTAGCATCCAGGACAGCTGACTCCACAAAGCTTTAACAGCATAGAGTTCTGGTTATCTACACGCACATAACTAGACCATTGAAATCAGCATCTCTCTCTCTCTCCACAAACACAAATGTACCCACACAAAGAAATTCCTTTACCAGATATATTACTTTCTGCCCTGATAGAATGGGCAATGACTACTATTGGGCTCTCACCTCAGTAATCATTGGTGAAGTTGAAAGTACACTGTGTTGTTTTTCCGACCTCAAGGGATCAGAATGTAATCTATGATGTAATTGTAGAAATTTAAAAAGAAGGAGTTTTGAAGCATGAGTTGGGAATATTCCTGGCTCCAACGATCCATCTACATTAAAACAGGACTAATCTACCCTATTTTTTCCTCTGGAGAGGCAGAAGATGAAACACCTAGAGGCAGATTCAAGGCAGAAACAGAACTGGCAAGGCTGGTACACTAGAAAGCCCACCTCCATTTACTGGGCCCATACAGGTGATTGACGTTTCAATGGGGGACCATTTTGGGAACAGTGACCATAATTCCATAAGATTTAAGATACTTATGGATAAGACTAGTCCTCAGGTGAATGTGCTGAATTGGGGCAAGCCTAACTATGATAACATTAGGCAGGAACTGGGGCATGTAGTTTGGGGTTTCAGGGTAAGTCCACATCTTTCAGGTAGGAATAAGTAAAAGTTAAGGATGACAAGATTCAGGAATTTTGGATGACAAGATAAATTATGAGCTGAGTCAGAAAGAGAAAGAAAGCATATGTAAGGTTCAGGAAGCTGACGACAGACAGAGCAATGGAGAAATACAAAGAAAGCAGGAAAGAACTTAAGAGATAGTAGGAACTGCAGATGCTGGAGAATCCGAGACAACAAGGTGCAGGGCTGGATGAACACAGCAGGCCAAGCAGCATCATAGGAGCAGAGAGGCTTTACGTTTCGGGCCTAGACCCTTCATCAGAAAAAGGGGAGGGGAAGGGGGTTTTGAAATAAATAGGGAGAGAGTGGGAGGCGGATAGAAGAGGGATAGAGGAGAGGATAGGTGGAGAGGAAACAAACAGGTCGAAGAGGCGGGGATGGGGCCAGGAAAGGTGAGTGTAGGCAAGGAGTTAGGAAGGGGATAGGTCAGTCCAGGGAGGACAGACAGGTCAAGGGGGCGGGATGAGGTTGGTCGGTAGGAGATGGAGGTGCGGCTTGAGGTGGGAGGAAAGAACTTAAACAAGGATTTAGGAGGGCTAAAAGGGGCCATGAAATACCCTTAGTAAATAGGATTAAGGAAAATTCCAAAGCTTTTTGTGTCTATATAAGGAGCAAGCTCAGGAAAGGTTAGGTCCATTCAAGGTCAAAGGAGGAAATTTATGCATGGATCCAGAGAGTGTGGGTGAGATCCTTGATAAATACTTTGAATCGATATTCACAGTGGCAAAAGAAGTAAAGGATGGAGAGTCTGGAGAGGGTAATGTTGGTATTCTAGGGTATGTTGATATAAAAAAGGTGTTGGGTGTTTTGAAAAGCATTAATATAGACAAGTCCCTGAACCTGTCGGGATCTGTCCTAGAATGCTGAAAGAGGCAAGGGAGGAAATTGCTGGGGCCTTGTATGAAATCTTTATGTCCACTTTAGTCACAGGCGAGGTCCCAGAGGAGTGGCAATTAATCAATGTTCCTTTGTTTAAGAAGGGCAACAGGGATAATCTGAGAAATTACAGGCCAGTGAGCCTTACATCAGTGATAGGAACATTATTGGAGAACATTCTTAGGGACAGGATTTACTTGCATTTGGAGAAGAATGGACTTATTATGAGTACTCAGCATCTCCTTGTGCAGGGGAGGGCTTGGCTCACAAACTTGACTGAGTTTTTTGAGGAAGTGACAAAGATGATTGATGAAGGTTGGAGACAACAAGGTGCAGAGCTGGATGAACACAGCAGGCCAAGCAGCATCATAGGAGCAGAAAGGCTGACGTTTCGGGCCTTGGGTTGTGGATGTTGTCTACAAAGACGTTAGCAAGGCCTTTGACAAAGTCCCATGGCAGGCTGATACAGAAGGTGAAGTCACATGGTATCCGCTGTGAGCTGGTAAAATGGATACAGAACTGCTTAGTCATAAAAGACAGATAGTAGCGATGGAATGGTGTTTTTCTGATTGGAGATCTGTGACCAGTGGTGTTCTGCAGTGATCAGCGCTCAGATCCCTGTTGTTTGTAATATAATATGTGCATGCATGATTTGGAGGAGAATGTAGGAGGTCTGACTAGTACGTTAGTGGACAACACAAAGTTTGGGGGCGCTGCAGATAGTGAGGAGGATTGCCAGAGGATACAGCAGGATACAGATAGGTGGAGAAATGGCTGATGGAATTTAATCCGAACAATTGCAAGGTAATGCATGTTGGAAGGTCTAATGCTGGAGAGAAGTATACAGTAAATGGTAGAACTCTTAGAAGCATTAACATACAGAGGGATCTAGGCATACAGGTCCATAGTATCCTGACAGTAGCAACATAAGTGAATAAGGTAGTCAAGAAGGTGTATGGCATGCTTGCCTTCATCGGTCGGGGTATAGATTGTAAAAATTAGCAAGTCACATTGCAGCTGTGTAGAAGTTTAGTTAGGCCACATTTAGAATATTGCATAAAGTTCTGCTTACCACACTACCAGAAGGATGTGAGGGCATTGGACAAGATACAGAAAAGTTGTACCAGGCTGTTACCTGGTTTGGAGGGTATTAGCTGTGATGAGAGATTGGAAAAATTCAGTTTGATTTTACTTGAACATCGAAAGTTGTGGAGCGACCTAACACGGATTTACAAAATTTTGAGAGATGCGGATAGAATGGATAGTCAGAGTCTTTCTCCCAGGGTAGAAATGTCAATTACTAGGGGACTTTGGTTTAAGGTGAAAGGGGGAAGGTTTAAA